ATTGTCAAGAATACGATAAACAGCGGGTAAATGTGCGCAACTGTGCTTTGGCAATTTACGACGCGCCTGATCGGGAAAAACGCGCACGCTCACACGTGATTCACTCGGCAGCACGTGTCGTAGGCTTTAAAAACGTGATGAGCGTCAGCAATTCGCACACACTTTTGAAATCAGCGTTTGAGCGAAGCTTGTTCTTTTTTTCTCATTTGCATAACTAACGTGATCGCTACTTTTATAATTGAACCGTTGGAAAAAAGCTATTGAAACTCTTTCGTTATTCTTTGAAAATTGTCAGCCGTGAGACGATTGGATTGATTAACGAAATTAGATCATTTGCAAATTTCTCGCGAAACCAGTTGTCAAGCTAATTTTTGCAGAAATTTTTCAAGAGGAAATGAATATGACTATCGCTTTATCAATATTCTCAGTGTACAGTTTGAAGAAATAATACACATCGAATAATTTATCGAGTTTGACAGTTTCAGTAGACCATTGATTTTCGGGATATTTAATAATACCGATTCTAATCGAAAAGACCTCAAAAACCGTTAATTATACATTTTTTAAAAACACGCAAATTGCATTGAGACGATTGCTACACAATTGTATTGAAACTAGTTGGCTGGACTTTGAAGTGCCCGGTGTAAGTAATTTTATTTGTAGTGCCACGAAAAGTTGTATTGAAGTGGTAATTGTTCGACAAGCAAGGAGCCAAACCTGATTGCTAAATATAAGAGGAAAAAAGAAAGGATCAACGATACTTTGCCCTGTCCAAGTTATATTTGGGATTGGTTCAAGGTCTAGTGCACGAGACATAATTATACGAGACAGCGGCGCCGGCCGGTAAAAGGCCTCTTCGACAATACCGGTTTCCTTCAGGCTGCTGGTCTCCAATGGATTTTTAAAGTCAATTTTATTGACTGTCAGTGCGGAATTTGGAGCGGACAGCGACGACTGGCGTGGCCCGCGCGATTGCTCGAGAGGCCAAGCGAGACGGACAATTTTCTAATCTGGCCGCACGTGCTCGGGCGGTGCCGAGCGCGAAGTCGCGCGATACTAGCGATCGCGGCCGAGCTCTGTTTACATTTCTCGCACTTGTTGTCTCCCTCGCGGGCGAAAGTTCATGGCGAAAATATCGCTGGCATTGTGTACGCAGGCAAGGCTCGCACGCTTTTTACACACTCTCTCTCTCTTTCTTACTCTCCAGAAACGCTTATCGGACCTCTACGCTCGCTTGACGGATACTCAAATTCGGAGTCTGTCCGTGCGTGCGTGCGTGCGTGCGTGCATGCGTGTCGCCTGAATTATTCATTCGCGGAGGTCGCGCGGGGCGCACAGCGGATTTCTACGCTGTCGTCGCGAAATCGAATATCATCGACAGGCGCGAAAAAGTATAATAAAGACTCACTTGATCCTGCGGCCTTAGCCTAGTCAAGTCGCTGATAACGGTCGGCATGATGATCAATCGCAAGCACACAGTGGGGTCGAACAACTGGTCGGACTCGGGAAGAGAAGTCGTCTCGGGGCACACCTGTCGCCTTGGCGAGCGATCGACAGCGTCTGATGATCGCCACGGTCGCTGCACGCTCAGACAGCGTCGCTCGCTTTAGCGCACGCAACAAGAGAGACAGGGAGAGAGGAACATACCGCGCCCACATGTATCTTACACCAATTTCATCCAAGTATCTGTGTGTCCGTGTGTGTGACGCGCCGAGCAAACGAGTTTCCTTAGGTATTTATATTTATATACATAAGTATAGCTGTACCGGAGATCGTGATGCTTGCTGATTGGATGGCAGGTTTGGAAAGGATTGGAGAAGCTGGTCATTGCAGGATTTCGTTGTTGTATTTTAATCGATGAAAGTATTTCGTGACGTTGCATTTCGTAAAAGCGAGTGGCTAATCGAAGAAAAAATTATTTTGGTTGAGTTTTTACGGAAGGTTTTGTAAATGAAAAGTGTCATTTATTTAGATCCAGAGAAATATTTCTAAATGTCATTTGTTTGCTTCTAAAGAGTCTTTGTCATTGTGCAATTATAGCGTTATCACGTCCTAGATGCTACTATTACACTCGTACTCCGCTTCTGTCTTAGGCTTTAATGAACAGCTGGTTGAGTTGTAACGTACAAATAAATGAAAAGAACAATAATAGAGAATGCGCATTTCTATATTGCATGCCCCATTTTTGAGTAAAAATATTTTGTTCGTCGACACATTTCCTTCATTTCTTTAGTTAACGTAACATCCCCAGATAATACAATCAGTCAGTCATGCTCCGACTGCCCATCTATCGCAACCCTCACCTCATTCCCTCGTGTGTCGGCAATAATAAGTATGGCCTTAAATTGATAGCCTCAAATGTTTGAGATGCGTTTCACAGAAGATAAGACTCGAAGAAATATTGCGTATTTTGTATCGCCATGGGTCTACGACGTTCTTAACTGTATTTTTAAGCAAGTTGATTGCGCGAACGCATATACAGTATAATCTCTCAAGATTGAAAGTTTTAAAGCACTTATTCAAGTATCGTAAAACACGAATGAATATTTTTTTCGTTGATCAAAAATTTTTCACGTTTAACAAAAAACGGCAACGCACTCATTTAGATAAAACCAAGCGTCATCAAAGACTCTTTATGGTATTTGAAATGCATCACATTTAATGGCGGTACAAATCCTACCTAATGACACTCAGATTAAAACAGGTTTTACATAACGTTGAGAAAAGCTGAATATCAAGATTTTTTTAAATTTACATTATTTCAGAAGCTCATGTTATTGTTATAACGTCGCGTAAAACACATTGAAAGGTTTTTGCCGTTGGTTTTGCCAAAATATATAGCAATTGGAATTCTAATATATGACGTTAGGTCGGGCATTTTGGTGTTCGACCTTGAACTCCACGACTTGCCGATCAATTTAATTTTAGTCTCAGCGCCAGCTTGTGAATATCAAATTATCCGGTTACCGCATTTTTTTTTACTTGATTGCTTTTACGTTTCAAATGCATGGATTTGCATTCTAACGAGTAATTTGGTGAATTTTTCCTCCAATTGATCCGAAAAGCTTACGTAATACTAGATAATCCATCATAAGAATTATTGCCATTGTACGACGAAGAGAACGCACCGGTATGATTAAAAATTCTAGCAAGCATATATCTCAAACCTTGTCCGATTACTCGTTCACGCTGTAACGCGCGCAAGTTAGTTATAAGTTTATAACTTTACAACAATTGAAATCCTCGAGAAAAATCTCGAAGTAGCACAAGGAAGCTCAACGATTTGTGCACGTATTTGCCTATGAACGTACCGCTGCACTGACATACGATACGAAATGTCGCGTGCAGCAATAAAGCCCTGGCAACAGAAAATCATCGGGCCAATGATGTCAGCCCATAAAAAAGCCATTATTCAGCGTGGCTATTCCATCTTTGACGAAAGCGCGTTTGAGCAAGGGTATCCTCCGCGCACATGTCCAGCGCGTGAAACTCGAGCATTGTTACCTGTGACGTCACCTCGAAACTCGACTCCTCGGCAGCACGCGAGAAGCATTAGCACAGCAACCGGGCGCTCTTGTTCTTCGTTGCACTTTTGCACTCGCGAATGCGGCGTGCGCAAGTTCAAGGTCGCGCGATATACTGGATACGCCAGGTGCACGGGCGAAGGTTATTTAAGCGCATGAGCAGTGACGAGCTGCGCAAAGATTTCGCGATTGGCCGGAAAAAATGCGCTCGTGTGCATTGGGAAAATTAAGCTTTTTTATTTTGGAAGCATTGCTCGCTTGATCGTCAAGTGATACGACGAGCTTTACAAGGCCGTCTTGTAAATAGGCGAAGAAGCTTTGAAGACATTCTATTTGGTATCAATGTTTATTAAGTAAAAATACTTCATAAAAATATCATCACGATTTGTCGATGCGAAAGCTTCGTGTGCTTATTCAATAAACTTTCTATGAAGATATGGTAACTATGGAACGACGATCTCTTATGTAACTTGAAATAAGGATAGAATGATTATTTGAAATATAAGAGTAATGCGCAGAAAATTGAGAAGGAAAATATCTCATTGTTCTTTGAAAGTTTATCGCTTTTTTTTTAAATAACTGCTCGTGCAGGAAAAAGAATCATCCAGCCATTCACAAGTTAAATTGATGACTGACAAAAGTTACGTAACCGTAGGCCAAGCAAAGTACACCACTGCATCGGAAAATGGTGAATTCTGAAAAGGCAGAGAACACAATGAAACATTGTTCGCGTTCCCGCGGTTTGCCGCAGTGTGCGCATATCCTGTTGACTTTCGGCAGAAATTGGCGGATCGAGCGTGTCGATCGCGGCCTTGAAAGGAGCTCAACGCGGTATTTTCTTAGGGATATATAGAGAGTGACAAGTCGCGTCGTTTGCCAAAGCATCGAGCCGCTCTATCGTTCTACTCCGCGCCCTGCTACCGCCACTGTGCTGCGATCAGCTGATCAGATCAGCTGCTCAAGTTTGCGGCCCGTTAGGCTATGCACGTGAACACCTTTCTGCCCCTGACGCGGTGATTTCTTTTATTGCTTGAATGGCGAATGACGAGAATTCCGATTACTTTTGTCGAAAGATCGTAATAGCGAATGTAGTAAAATGGAAATAAGAGCCAAGGCAAATGGTCAATATTATGAGCGTTAGTCTTGCTCGATACGAACGTGCTAGAAATTAATTTCACTATCAGTTGTTTGTCCTCGAAAAAGTGTCGCTGAAAAACCAGCTGATAGCGACGGCGTAGGAAACTGATGCATGCGAAGCATTGTAAAAGTATATTTATGGCGCAAGTCGACTGGTCCACGCGCAGACATTCAATCGTCGAGTTCATGAATGAAACTAAGTCGTTATAGATAGTTTGGTTTTGAGTGAGCCATGCGCAGTTTCTCTACTCGCCCCTTTCTCGCAGATGAGGCCACCTTTCAGGGGAACACGAAGCGATTGGTCAGACGCAATCACGCAACAATTTATTGTACCCATTGCAAGTCTCTTTCGTCTGCGTCCAAAGCGTCACGTGCATCCATCCGAGTGAGTACGAACAACGCGTACTTGTTTCGTAACATGCGCGCTTGCGACGCGTATTTCATTGTCACTCGCCTCGCACTCGACGCACGGTCAGACAATACCTGCTTCAATTCCGCGATAAGCGTTTGTTCGCGAAAGTCTAATAATTATTGAGAGCCACGTTGAGTTGGCGCCGCCAACCGAAAATCTTTATAAATTTTCAACTTCAAAATGGTATTTTGAATAAGTGCATTTGAAGTGTGCAATTTGAAATTTGACGAACTCGATCGGTTCTAATATCTTAAACTCCTAGTTTCGTATTTCAAAGTCGACAATACTACGACCCACGTATGAAAAACAAATATTGCGTAATGTTCAAAGGTATATTGTTGTCTTGCCATTGCTCAATACGTCAGAAAAAATATATTGCAGCTCGTATTCGAAAAAAAGAATCACCGACGAGCCGGGCATTTAAAAAGAATCGCAATAGTGTTTATAGAGCTAATTATAATAATTACCCAACGCTGAATTTTGCACCAAATCAGTCCTTGCGTAACAAGTCACGAAGAGAAGTAAGCAGTCGCCGCGACTTATGCATAAAGCCCGACATTGACGATTTTCCAAAAATGAAATGTTCAGAGACCGCCGCGCGCAAAATCTCCAAAGATCGTTGAACTTGGACAGCGAGAGAGTTACAATTCGTTCCGTACCGCGGTAACCTCCAAATTCAAAGTTGATTACACAACGCATTCTCGTTCACTTCCATCACCATTGTCCTCGCGAACGTCGCGCACATTCGATAAAAGTCACGACAATGATCGATAAAATTGATCGAGGAACTTACAGGTTGAGCGATGCTTTCCCACTTCTCGGTCAAATACCACGACTTGTCTTCGCTCGCCATCTTCGTCTTCAGCACTTGTCGAAAAAGCAAATTCAGCCTCGCGTCGAATTACCAGAAGTTACGCACTGTTCCGCGCGCCGTCTCATGCACACGCGAATCTGACCGAAAGCACAACAGAGAGAAAGGCAAAACGAAAGAGCGAGAAAATAAAAGGAGAAAAAAAGCTCGCAAGCTCGTTCGCTGCCAGCAGCAGCAGCAGCCGATCTTCCACTTGGGAAAGAAGCTTGGCTTTGCAAGGTGACGTGCACGCCGTCGCTGCTCGAAATAATCCACGCCGCAGGTGTATTTTGGGCATCTTCTCGACTGTACCGCTCGCCGCGGCACATGTGAAAGTACGTTTTCGCTGCGTAATCGGCCATCGTAAAATAGCGGCCCTTTCCGCGCGACCTTGATATTTGCTGTCATCGCAAGCTCGACGCTACGATAGAGGCCGATCGTTTCACGCTGCTGCGCCATTTTCTAATTCTTATCAATTTCTTTCTGAGATCGGAGAAGGCGGGATGTTCACCCGCCTCGCGCTATTTTCACTCGAGTACGTAAAGACGTACTGTCGCGAACGCATTTTTTATCAAACGGCAAGTTCGCTGACAGTCGCTTTATGGAGATTGTTGTCAACGCTTCGTTCATTCAAAATAAGCTATTAGTAGGGCACCTAGCCAATTTATATCGGCAGATCTCTCAAGGTTGTGGTCGCCGGACTTCCGTAACAGTTGAGAAATCTGATCGGCGATTGAAACGTCAATTTTTAGAAAAATACGCATACAAGTTTTTGTCTCAATGTCAGGATGGCCGAGCGGTCTAAGGCGCTGCGTTCAGGTCGCAGTCCACTTCTGTGGGCGTGGGTTCGAATCCCACTTCTGACAGACTTTTTGCATTTTGTTGATCAATTTGATGGAAAGTTGACGAGCTTACACGTACGCACAAGAGCTTACACACTTTTTATTTTTAAATAAACAATACGGAATCGCATTTGCAAAATGAGGTCTATGAATAATTAAAACCCCTGGAATATACATTTTTAGCGAAAAATGTAGTCATTTTCAGTTGTCTCTGTTGTTTGTTGATAAAATGATATTCTATTTCATTGTAATGTTTAAACAAATAATTGAGCATTGTAAAGAAGACAGCGCACGGTCGATTATATTATAAAAATACATCGTTTTAATGATATTATGAGTATCTTTTCAAATATTACAAAAAAATAGACACACTCGAGAAAGGGAAGAGAAGAATATTGAAATCGAGTGAAAAATCGTAAATTGTTAGATAAGAAAAGTAGATAAGATGATTATTTCATTGTAGCTACTTCTACATATTCCAACATATTGTAATCAACAATTTTTAAATGAAAGGATCTCTAGAACTATAAATAAATAGAAATGACAAACGACGAGTATACTTTAACCGAGTTTCCGAATGAAACGATTTTTAATAATGAAAAGTATTATCGATAATAAATCGAAAGTACATAAATACCTTACTATCATAGTGCTTCACCTATGTAAACTAATACCGGAAATGAAAATAGAGGAAATCGAAGATCTCATATTCCAACTCAACTCCGTATCCGTATGTATATATTTGGCACTTCTGGCAGTTTGACATTTGTTTACTCAACACGTGGTTGGCAGACTTGATGGCCGCCTGCGGCGAGAAACTCGTCTAGTTTTTCTTGTGGTGGCGTCTTTTCGTGTGCCGCGGATGCAAATTTTCATCCTTAGCAAAAGTGCCATAAATTTATTCTTTTAGATTTTTCTATCATTCATTAATTTTAACTCACGTGAAAACAGAATATCGTGGCTCATTATTTACTACCAGGCGATATTACTTGAGAATTATGGCTGACGATGATTTGGTGGTTACGATTTCAGGCCCGGCACTTTCCTTGTTGCTGTTTGAGAATGCAAGATCCCAAAATCAAGTAAGAAATAAATATTTGATATTATGATTTACATTATTTCCCAATTTAGAATTGTACTTTTTCAATGCAGCTTACTGAATTCAATTCAGCGCCATTGGACTGTTTTGAGGTTACGTTTAACCTTTGTTTGATATATGCGAAATCAAATTTCATCTTTTTTTATCACAAACTCAAACTCGAATATGATTGTAATTTTGATGATTTTCATTATTAATTATTTATATATTTTTTGTATATTACATTAACAGTTTTTCTGTTTTATGTTATTCTTTCAATTTTCTTATTCCAAATTCAAATTAACAACTTAAAATTTCTGCAGTAACTTACAATATCCAATAATTCACTAAATGTAGTCTACCAACAAATTATTTTCATTATAGATTGGATTTTTACTAGGAGAAATTCAAATATTTGTAACAAAAAAAGTTACAGATGAAAAGTCTGTTGAAAACATTAAAACACATATAAGTAAGTATAGTAAAAATGCAAAAACTAAAAGTTTTGAAAAGTACTAATTTGAAAAAAAATATTTTTAGATATTAAAAGTATTGTACTGCATCCTTTGGGCTGTGAACCATTCTTCAATACCACAGGACAGTTAAATGAAGAATGTTTGAAAGAGTTCCTAAAAGATGACATATATAAAGTTGTTGGATGGTACCACTATCGTTATAACTTTAAACTTGAATTGAACTCTCTGAGAGACAAAAATTTACATACTGATTTATCAAAATTTTTTTCAAAGTTCATTAGACTACAAAGGCAAGAAAATTTTTTGTTTTTCCTTATGGTTGCCAATAAGAATGAAACTCATGCAACACATAAGTTTAAGCATTTGTTATATCGAAAAGAAGGGTATGTAATTTTGATTATTTCATTTATCATTGTCTAGTTATGTTTACCAAATGGTACTCATATATCAAAATATCTCAACAGAAAAGATTATAAGTCTGTATCATTCAGAATTAATAATCTAGGAGCAGATGCAACTAGACCTGATGGATCAGATTATAAGCCTATTCCAAGATACACATCATGTCAAACTGACAGTTTTGATCAAGTTTATGTTTCATTGAGGTATGCATAGCTGATTAGTTTTTCTATCTGCAACTACTTGTAACTTAGAAATTATTTTATTCACAGAAATGACTTAAAGAGGGTTTCTGGAGTCGAAGCAGTGCAGCTCATAGAAAAGGGTGCAGAAGCTTTACTTGCAAAATTAATACCCGAAGTCAATAAAACTGATCAAATAGTTACAAAACTATCTGAGCAGTTATTTGAAATGAGACATGCTTATTGTAGAGAAAAGTTTGAAAAGATGAAGACAGAATTTATGAGAACAGAAATGCAACGGTGTTCTATGGACGTTGATATACGATCGGATATACAACGTCCATTGTCTCCTTTGATTACAAAATCTGAATGTGTAAGTCCAGAATCACCTTTAATGTTTGATCCACCAAAGGTAAAACAATAATAAGCATTTATTCTAAATAATTAACTATTTTTACAATCACTATTTTTGTAGATCTCACCGTCAGGCAGTACTATAAAAACGGCAACAAAGATAAATTTAAAACAAGAAAGCAGTGACGAACGGACACAAGATCATACCTCGAGTAAACAAAATCAAATGAAATATGACTGTCCAAAATCACCAGAGCTTAGTAGTCAAAAATCGAAATCGGTAAAACAGCGTAAAGCTCAATTTGAGTATAATGTTCAATCACTCACTAAATTGACATCTAGTTTTGATAAAAAGAGTATACGCAAATCGTTAGACTACGACAGACAAAACTCTTAACTAATATTCGACTCTCTTTGCTAGTTGTACATATAATTTTAAGACAGCGTTGGAAGTCACAATGACGAGTGCATGAAGATTAGGAACGATATGTTAAATTTGCTTTCATTTTGTTTTTTTTTTCACTTTAAATAGATAATACAATTTCATCTGTAAATATGAAATTTCGTGGAATGTATGCGGTAGCCAGACGGTTCTTAAACAATAAGTAAGTTTTGTAAACAAGAGCTTTTGCGTGGCAAAAGGTATATTTTCTTATAGTATGTCTGCAGGATTGTTGGGCAGACCGGTAATTTCCCAAATTGTTGCAGCCAATCTTCTAGAATGTTCAAGTACACATGACGATGTAGCCAATCCTAAGTGTACACAGTATAACTCGTAAATGCGAATCTTGTTTGGCGATAATTTTGGGAAGTATGCTTCTGCCAATTTCCTAAAAATATAACATACTTAGTAAAACAGTTTGTGATGGAGATTTGAACGTTGAGGAATATTAAACTAGTTATAAACTTTTCTTTTTTTGCTAATTATACAAATATTAACTTGAGGATTATTCATCGTGAGACTGGTGTATAATGTCTAAAGATAGAAAAACTTCTTATTATTAACACAAATTTAAAAAAGAAATTTCTACAACTTTCATAAAGAAAAGCTTATTGTGTTTTTTTACAAAATAATTATTATCATAGTCTCACGTACTTGTAATAATCTCCACAAAGAATACCAGGAACGGGAAAATTTTTTAATATGTGATTGAAGTATGTTTTGCATTTTAATGATGTGCCCTGCAAAGCAAGAGAATGGATGTGAATAAGACTAATTTAATATTCAAAATAATTTTAATAATTATAAACATACAGAGCTATCTTCAAACCATAAAAAGTATGCATAGTTAAAGGTAGTGTCTTTCCACATTATGGACATATGACCTTCTTGCAGGTGTATTCTACTCTGTTCAACCATTGTCCAGATCTGTGGAAATTATTAAACACTCTTTATTATTATTAAAAACTCGCAAGCTTAAAAGTAACATTCTACATGCCGCAGGTCGCTGTCGTAATCCTTAATTTTATTACTTGTAATGTTAAAATGCTTATAAACGAGTTTATTCAGTCCATTGTGATTAACAAAAGTACTTTCGAATTATTACGAATGACTTAACTAAAAGCTATATTATGATTGTAATACATTTATGTTTCATAAATTAGACAAAACACAAATATACTTCAATCATAATATAACTTTTAATTAAATAATAGTATTTTAAAGTTTATAATTTTTTCAAATTTATTATCTATTAAAACATTGTTATGAATAAAATAAGATTATAAATTTACCTTCTTTATTGTTAATGTTAAAGTTTCTGAATTACTGAAGTCTATTGTTGGTGCTATTAATCTGTGAGTTGTCCTATCAATGTATATAAAATGCACCAGTCCTGGAAATTCTTCTAGATATTTGTTGATTGTTAGAGAAGTTCTCATAGCGATGCAACATTAAGCATTAAGGACAAATATTTGAAAGTATTTTAGGCAGATGCAAACAGTTCATTTGTACTTAAAAAATATATTTATTTTCTATAAGAAAATTTACCAAGAGAAATATTAAAATAAAAATATTTTTGTCTAGAAAATATATTAAAAACATATTTGCATTTTTATATTGACATAAAATTGATATAAAAAGGATATGATCCAATAGTGAAGTTTTTTATAGCTTTAATTTTTAGAAAATCGCTAAACTCATTCAGTTTTTGACTGACAAGTTTGCTAACAGTTGTGACTACATCTCGTCCTAATTGTACAAAATTTTTATTCAAGCAAATAAGCTTGAACAAATCTTTCAGTGATTCTACAAAACTTTGTGTACTGGACTCAATTTGTAAAACAGTTTCAGGATCCCTAGTTTTCAAAAGCTCCATATATTTTTTCCTAACTTGTTCCCATTTCATTTGTAGTCGTCTTTGGCACATATCAACATCATTACTAATGTTACCTCTGTTTTTCTTAATACCATCCAAAGTTTTTTTGATAGATGCTTCAAGATTATCAAATGCTGGTCTCAGTTCATCAATATCTCTTTGCAGTTGTAATCCATTTATGACATTCAAATGATAAAAACTATCGCACAAGCTAGATGAAATAGTTAAATTTGTCATTTCTACTATTGTCACTAAATTTATCCCATCAGCTAATTGAAATATATGAATAGCATTTGCTGTATAACCACAGTCTTGGGAGCCAAGAAGCATCACTTGACTGTTAAGTTCATCGGAAGCTAACCAAGATAGATTTTCACTAATAGAGGAGTCCCTTGTACCTTCTACAAAATATATTGGATTCATTGTCGACATAAAATTTTATAACATTTTTATTAATTGCAAGTTTGACTCACCAAATAAATTACATATATCTACAGATGTTGGAATCGTCAGTTTTTCCAAATTATCAGGAGGCTTATCTTGCTCTTTTTGTATTGCACCACTCCGAGACAACAGAGTGTCGTTGGCTTTGATGTTCTTTTCATAATCTCCCTTTATGCTTTTATTGGCTACATGACACAAGAGAACCATTAACAAAATGTCAGATGCCAATAAATCCTGTGCTTTTATACTAGAAAATAAAGACATAAATTTGTGTTCAACTAACACCAAAACATGTACATTCGAGAATTCTGATTGAGCTTTCAATTTATCAGCTGCATCACTTAAAACTCCTAAAGTTGTTGAAGCTAAATCTGCATTTACTGATAATTGTTCAACAGTTTCTGTTAAAATACTCTGTTCAGATTTCCTTAATTCTACCCATGCATCCATAAGGTGTGAAACAAGTTCCACTTTTTGTCTACTAGTTTTCAATCTGAAATTTATTAAAAAAGATAGATTCAGTTAACAATCTTTTAAATCATGATAAGAACCATATATTTTTTAAACTTACAAAGATACATTAGGACCACAAAAATGCTTGACAATAGTTACACAAATACCCACAGTTCTTCGCATTAACTCCACTACTTCATCTGATATGTAGATAAATGTGTATCCCATGTATTCATCAAATACAATATTAGTGCCATCTTGACACTTCATTGATGTGTATGTATTGCCGAATTGTGATGCCATAAGATATTGTGACGTAACAATTGGAGAGAACAACTGCATGAGAATGTTTGGAGTTGGTTTGAAGCTCGATGAGTCACTTTCATCCTAAAAAGGTAATATCGATGAAATAAGTCATGAATTGAAAAATACAAAAAGCTATTTTTGTACTATGATTTTAAAGAATTTATCAAGTACGATTTGCATTTACATTCTTTATATAATAACTCATTTGCATTTTCAAAGCAGAACATCGCTCAACAATCAACATACTAAAGTACGTTGTTATATAAAACATCTAAATGATGTAGATTAGCTTCTTGTCGTAGGTAAAAAAATCTACCGAGCATGAATTGCAATGTTTCACTGACTTAATAAAAAAGAAAAATAACAAAGGCGGGTGTTTTGTTTACAAAGCACGCTCACCTTATTTTCGGCGAGTAAACCCTGGAGTCTGGCCAACTTTTGAATGTGATCGACGAACTTGTCGTTGCACTTGGCGAACAGAACATCGTTCAAATGATCAAATATCAGAATCCCCCTGATATTCGTACACATGATTATGGCAATATTACTTGCAGCTATAATGTTGCATTTGTTTATATATAAAAGAAAAAAAAATATGGAACGAGCGCCAAAGAAAAAAAGAGGAAGAAAAAGAGAAGGATACAGGCAACACCCGTAAAGCGAGGTTTTTGCGGTCGCTGCGATTCACCTATCGAGCGCTACTAACTCGTTGCTGCTAAGGCCGTCTCAATACAGGTTTTCCACATGCTGTCTGCTTTATTATTTTTTAAAAGCCGACTCGCGTGGGGATTACGTATCTGCGTGACTGCTGCCTACTGCGGCACTCACATCGGTATTGTTGACATTCGGTTTCTGATTAGTACCTTAGATGTCTCTGCTGTAACCCCTCATTGATTTTTCATTTATCGGACTTTCACGACTGAGCTTCAACACTTGTTTCGCAAGCGCTGTAAGCGTGAAAAAACTAATTTCAATGAAAAATTGTTGACTTTTCTGGATGTTCTTCAGAATGAGATCGCTCATTCTGAAATAATAGCGCATATGCACCTAATGCGCATTTCAATCTCGAACAATGCAATTAGCTTTGAAATAATGAAAGATAACTCAAGTCAAACACAGTGAAAGTGTGCGAAGGCTCGTTTTAAAGGGTAAACATAGAGTTTTCGAATGAACCGTCGTACTTTTAAAAATTCACTTCCGGAAATTACGATTCTTTGTGAAAATGGAAACTGTCCGTTTCATCAGCGAGCGGAAAAGAAACTAATCTACTTTAGAATGCAGTATGTTGGGCTAGAAATTGAAATCATCATGCGGGAGTTCATCTTGAAGCTACTCTCAAAACGAGTCATTACTAATTAAAAAGTTGACTTTTAGCCAAAAGTTGTGGTTGTTTACAGAATGAACATGAAATTTCTGTAATTATAGAAAATATTTTCAAGGGGAACAAATTTCTCCATTCACTATATATCTATATATTTTGTTGTGCTATCAATTTAATAAATAAATAATATTTCGACACTCCGTGAATCTACTTTCCCGCGCTAGTATCGTAATGTACTATATCTCGGGAAATAAGCGCGTTAAAGCTAATATTAACAGAAAATAACTCCGCTTTTATTAAAATGTAAATCATCCCATCGACTGATAAACTGTGTCTATCGTTGATAAAATAGCTATAGTTTCACTTTCTTTCTGGCCTTTTTTTAGTTCTGAACTAGTGATACGGTTGTTTTTTCAAGATTAGTATCTCGCGTTACACGTGGTAAGTAGTATGCACTGAAATCGCATAACTCCCAAGCCTATATTTTTATTGTAGAATATTTTAGGAGTGAAGTAAAAAATTAAACACATTTACATTTTTCACTGATTGATTTGCAGTAACACAAATATATTTATAATTTTTCAAATAAAAATCAACTTTCACAATGCTAACAAATGAGCTCAATTTAAATTCCATTGAACGTAAGATGTGCAGCTCATATTAAGTAACAAAATATTTCATTAAGATACAGCGAACCATTTACAAAGAGGCAAAACACTGTCGCATCTAAGTTGCACAAAACCTTGTTCAAATATTTGCATTGTTTTATCATTATTGCTTAATGAATCAGAGCTATTATCTGTTTTCTTTTGCACATTGTAAGGAAATACGAGGATTGATATTTGTGTTTTAATGACACAAACGCAAGACTTCTGTAAAATTTTATTAACGTGATTTCATTAAAAAATCACATGTAAGTTTGAGATTTATCGTTTGAAAACATTTTATGCAACTGGTTTTCTTTCTTGGCTCAATACAAATCTAATGAACTATTATACGTATAGGCCTTTATAATTATTTTTGATACAGAAGAGGATAAATCCAGTAACTTTGATTTGATATACAACTGTTTCTCTTCCAATCATTGATAACAAGCTAATGTAACTACATTTATGACATTCAATCACCAAATATAGGCACTAATTTACTTATATGTTTATTGATTCAATACTCATTTTTGATTAGAAATATCGAAAATCTGACTTATTCGTAAGCCAATCAATAACAATACATTTTTCTTGTAACATTTAAAGCTATGCAACTATTTTAGAAAATTTCTCAAGACATACAAAACTCGTTATTTTCCCGAGCTATTAAAGCTTTTAACAAACATTTTTGAACATATAATATTTATTTCTGGATATATCCTCTTACTTAGGTACATTGCAAATATATTTTCCTCGATTTTCTCTGATGTTATTTATATATTTCTCATAGCAGTTGATGTTTCAGCTTTCTAAAAATAAAAATATTCAATAAATCAATCTCCGAACAGTTAAGGGAATTTACAATAAATTGATATTATGGATCCAAGTATAGGCTTTCGAGTAAATATCATTCATGTAGTTCCCTTTCAAGCAACTCCCAAAAAAATATATCAAGCACTTATTCTCGTTAAAAATAATGGAAAAATTTTTTGTAATATAACCATTTTCATTTCGGCAAAACTCGTAGTAACATTTTCTTAGTATTATAGTTTGATGACTAGATCGTAAAATTTTTCGTCTCGAGTCCTTTTATCTTATGTAACTTTCGTAGTTTTTTTTAGACTAATTACTATAGAAAAGATTTTTTTTCTCGCTATCTCTGTAGTTTATGTATATATTTACACACAGAATATAATAGAGCTATAACTATCTACATATCTCATTTCTTCAAATTTATACGGATACGTTCAATATCAATTCTCAGCGGCAACGTTAATTGCTCTCTCAATAAACATTAGATCCAATAATAACAATTTTATCTCAGTGATATAATTTGTCATTTTAACATTTCAATGCTTTTTAAAGAAAGCCTTGCTTTTTCCACTTATTCCCGGATAGTCATGTAACGTTTTTCTGTGAACGTTACGTTGATATTCTTTGTTTTCAAACTATTGAAAAGTTTTTGTGCAGAATATGCAGAAGTTATTGCAGCTAATTTGGTTGAAACTTGAAATGCACGATTTTATAAATTTGAAGAACATGACAATCGAACGCGTTACCATTGAGTGAAAGAGGACTGGAACCCCAAAGAAACTTACTTCTTCAGAATTCTCATGTACTCAAAAAAGACTTATCTTTCTTTCAAATTGGAAAAGATCGTTGTAAAAATCGATCGCTTAGTTTTCTTTAGTTTTTGTTTTCCTAGAAAAATAGTTTTCAGGATGAAGCGAAGTCATTGGAACTAATGATGAATTTACAAAAATATCGGTGATGCTGTAGAGTATTTGCTGTTACACAAGTCTATGTAAGAGAAGATTGAATTGCAGAAGTATTGGAAATCATTCCTTATTCACTATATTATAATTTACTGGCAATACTGTATTGAAAAATTCAAGAGTTGTTCTTTATTTTTACATCGCAGATCTTGTCAGTGTTATATCAACCGACGTCGCAAAAAGCCATGTGAGTTGTATGTACGTTGATGAATTAAAATCATCATTCTTACGATAATCTGATGGTTCTCAAGATTCAAAGACCATCGGAATGAACAGATATATTCGATAACTTTGCAGTTGCATTTTTTGCAGCAACGTAAGTTGCCACAAGTGCACTCGACCAATGTACTCGTTCGCAATAGCCTAGTGTACATAATGAATTTAGCGATGATACGTAGGCCCGACTAGAATTGTACGATAAGACTTGAGAGACAAAGAGCTTTATGCAATACCGTATGCATGTGTGGCAAAAGGCAACTGTTCTACTTTGTTTTGGTTTTCTTTCATCCGCATGGCGACTTGTTTATTACTCTTCCGTCGCCATCTGTATCGCAATCCTGCCAAAAATCTAGATTTACTCGAGCAATTATTGCGCTTCTCTCTCTCTCTCCCTCTCTCTCTCTCTCTCTCTTTCTCTTTTACAATTGATGTATGATTTTTTCGTGAGCGTCACCAATCGCAATTATGAATTGCTTTGGAATTAGTTGTATCGAGCGAGAAAAATCGATGGCTGGACAAATAAAAAGAAATTGCCGAACGTTAAAGAAAAAGACGCAAATTTATCTTTCTCGCAAGTCATTTTCGGAAATCTAGATTGCCATAGTAGCTTGACGGTTCTCAAAGAAGAAAGAGATAAAACGAGCTTCCCTTGGCGTAAAAGCGCGTCCAACGCAAAAACAATATCATCGTAGCAGCGAAGGCGAATCTTTCGAGTGCCTAGGGCACTGGAACGGAAAAAGTAAAGCGCTGCGTACATCGTTGTTGAAAGCCTTCCAGTCGCGCCGCGATCACCCGCAACAAGGCTGAACAATAGCCCCTCTTTCTTGGAAGAGTACGATGTAGTGTCCTCTCCAGTAAGAGGCTACGAGAGAAATACCGGGGGTACTTTTCAGGGTGTCAGCTCACTCGGACGACATCAATTGTACGCTGTCCTCGGCCGAGCGATGCAGTCGACGCACCTCCGACAACGAACGGATCGGTGTTGGGTTTAGTAGCGAGAACGTATGCGAGTGACGATCTGCAACATAAAACGAGATTCATTGGCTTTCATTAAAAAAACGAAAGGTCCATCGTATTTTTCGACTTTAATTAAACGTCCAAGCTGATCAGCTTGCTGCAGCTATCAAGTTCAGAAAGGATACTGTCGGAAGCTTTTTATGGGTTGACCGAGTTTCATATCTGTCGATAGCTTTTGCCGAACTTCTCGGATTTATTATTTTATTATTGAATCTCAGTGACTTCATTCAGTTATACGTATTATATGCTTATTCTTTTTTTTGTAAGATAAATCAACATATAAACGTACTTTAATGAAACCCGTGCTAGTTTTCTTTCAAAAGTTAGATAGTTACGTCAGTCACAATCAACAAACATTAAAAACTATCGTCAAAAGTCGTAAAATATTTTACTGCTTGTCAATGACAAAGTTTATCACCGTCACTAGAATTCATAGGAATATCCATAGTTTGCCAAGGAAACTCATTCAAGTATTTATTGTAAGTACACCCAACGTTCAAAGGACTTTACGGACTTTTCAGGTCCTCTATCTATATGAATGTAGTATACCAAAAAATATATATATAGTAAATAATTGAGAAATTTGACTCTCAGATTTCACTTCGACTAACTATGATATTGCGGAAAAAATACAATAGATTATTTTAATACAATACATCGAATTGATTTTATTTTACAAGTGCATTCTATCGCTGTACTGATTTTTATCGAAATGGTATTTCGTGAACTTAATTTTCATTTATAACATGTTTCGACTTCCAGACATACTTTTTTTACAAATATTAAAAATACGATTGTTTGACCAGTTAGGAGTCTCAAAAAATAAATTACTATATCTATGACGTCGGAAACAGCAATTTGATTATTTCGTTTGTTCACTTCATTATTTATCGTTTGTAACGACGTAGTCAAATACCAACTAGTTATTTTTATGCACATCATCTTTTATTGCAAAAAAAAAAAAGACGCAGAATACTTTTAAAAATATTCACACTAGCATCAATTACGATATTTGCATTTTTCTTACCCGGAGCAACGAACTTAGGCGTGAATAATTTTCGACGCCGCTGATAAGCGAGATTTATTTATTATTTATTGGCAAACCAAAATATCATCGCAATATTCGATAATTCGTAAAGACACACCGACAACGTTCACAGAGTTTCAGAAAAATGAAGAATCATGCGAACAAGGGGGAATCCCCGGTCGATATTCTTCTCACATAAATATGCACAGTTTCACGCACGTATATATACATATACGTGTGAATTGACGCGCGTGCCGTCAGACCAAACCCACCCGTAAAAGCTATTGCTTGAATTGAAAAATATAGAAAATCGATTGGCGTTGCATCATTGGCAAGGTCGAGGGCGACTCGCTGTATACTTTTACGTAATTGCACGTCCTCGGGTCTTTATACAAATTTTTTCTCTGCCGGAGAGAAACGAGGACCCTCGAGCTTTCCCGGGGAGAATGAGGGATTCAACCCGAAAGCTGGATGCTCTCTGTCGCTTTCAATGATTTTCGAAATGCTGCCTCGGCTTATTCGGAATTTCGTCCAAAATTTTTCCTAATTTTTTTGTTTTCAAACTGTATTCAGTAGATTGCGCATTTTTTAATAGAATAATTACATATATTTGACAAAGTTCAATGAGTTTTTAACCGTACGTCACTAAGTATTATGGTTATTTAAAGCTCTTTCTGTAAAGTACGAAAGTAACGATTTGACGCTATACCATTGCGCCTTTTGCAAACAATTTGGAATGCTTTTGTCTGGAATAAGGATCCATTCAAAATGTGCAAAAACGAAATTGTATCAGAGAGCATCATGGGATATTCTTGAATATCCGATTGACGGCATAATGATTTCAAAGCTACCATTTTTTTTAATACTCGGTTGGATTTTTGTTTGGAGTCATGTTTAAAATTGGAATTACAATTTATATTTCCCGAACTGAAGAGGTTCGTTAAAAACTTTTAATGGTTTCCTTGCAACTGTTCATACCTTTGTCTCAAAAGTTTATTCTGCATCAATTTTTATGAACCACTGGTAAATAAAAAAATAAACGCGAAAACGCAGAATTAATGTTATTCAATAAAAAATCAATTAAAAGCATTCATAATTTTTACTCTATTGTTTCATACAGCAGCTATGAACGAAACCGCTAATGAGGGTTCTTTGTCGGGTTTTCCAGTACTCTTAATATCAAATGCAGTACTGCGTCCATAGGCATACAGAAATGTTGCGTTGAATGAGAAAGAACGCGGCATTATTAAGAGTTAATTTAGTGCGAAAAATGCAATGTTATTCGCGTGAACAAACATTACAATAGCTTTTTCTCAAAAAAAGAGCTGAATTTCAAGTTTAAATTACGCGTAGCGTAGCTCAATTTTTTTTTCAACTATTCATTTAACGAATTGTTATTTTGGGAATGAAAAAAATTTGTCGACGTTTTAATTAAATGTGCGAAATGAAATATGTGAAAATCTGTTTAAAAAAGAAAACAAACGTAAATATAAAAGTAATCAATGAATTCTCATATAATTTATAAAAGCACAAAAAAAAACCAAAGCAAAAAATATTGCCGTAGAAAAATCGATTCGCGAAAAGAAAACTAGAAATTTTTTTAAATTGTCCGTGAAGGACTTTCATTGAGCAGGCGGAAAATTGATCAAAACCTCCAAAACTCGCCGAAAGAAAAAGTGAAAGAGAACGAATAATATACATGTACAGACACATACACACGTGCATAGGTATACCGCTCACCTCGAATCTCATCGGCCTTGTGCTCGTCGCAGCCACGAAACGGCATCGATTTCGGCGAAGCAGCTCTGTTGTAGTGACTGGCGCTCTGCTCGGACTTGCTGCCAGGACTCTTGAGCTGCTGCTGCTGGTGTGGAAAATGAAATACAGGCGTGTGGTTCCAAGACACCGGCGGCGGACTTCGTACCAGATGCTCGTGCACTTGCGCCAACGTCAGTGGATCCGTGTCGCCGAATTCCTGCGCGTTGGCAAAGTGAGAATTCTGTTATATTTGTACTTGAGAGTTTCGAAGTCCTCGTGCAAGTACCCGACCGCGAAAATGTGTACACACGGAATGGAGGAGAAAGAGCAAGATCGATCGACCAAAATTTTTTGTGGCATTGCGAAGGTCTTAGGTGGAACTGAGAACGTTGAATTTAAATTGCTCTCAGTCGATTTTGGCTGAGTTAGTTGCTTTCGATTATGCAATTCTAACGTGAAAATGCGTAATGAACTTTTCTCACGATTTTATTTTTTTTTTAAATAATATTGTTACCGATAGTTACTTACTTGTGACATGAGGATAACGTCATCCGATTCAGATTCTTCATGTGACTCTATAAGGCTTTCTTTACTCGCTAGTATCTGTAATGTAAGACAAAACGTATATTCGTTATTTGCACGGTCCAAATTTTTAAATGACTCATCAAGGGAAAAAAGCTTCGGGTGGTAGCGACTGCCACTCGAGAATGAGTTTGACATTTGAAAAGCCTCTGTGTGCAAGAGACGATTTTCCTCTTTAGGTCTTTTGAGCACGTGCTAGTACAGAATAATCGAAGCCCTTGAAAATCGCAAAGAGTGAGATCATCGAGTTACTCTTTACATCGGAAGATTAAGCGGGGTATGTGTCCCTTGATATTAAAAAAATGATTTGATTAATGCTATGATTACGATCATTGAATCCGAAGACGTTAGAATCGAGAAAAAATGGACTTGTATTGAGTTGTACTTCGAGATTTCACTGCATCGTGATTTATTTGAAGTTGATTAATCAACTATTATAAAAATCTTTTTAATTGATTCATGTTCGTTTCGCCCCCTGAACTATATTTATTTTTAACAACTGGAATCACCAAAGAAAGCTGAGAAAACGAATGAAAGCTACTAGCGAATATCCTAATTGCTTTGAACTATAATAAACAAGAATAAAAATTGGAGTTAAAATGTACGCGCGAAAATGACTCTGAAAAACTCGGTCGCGTCGTAGCCGCGGGAACAGTCTAAATAAAATCCGACAAGCGACTTGCCCTTCGTAAAATCGACATTCTTCCCAAGAGAAGCTGTCCGAGCGCATCCGAGGGAGGAAACTTTCTTTTCCATGCAATCATCGAGTTTTCTACGTTTGCCCCTGGTGAGTTGCGAGCCGCAGAACGCCGTAGCGATTTTCCACTCACCCAGAGACGCGCGATCGCGACTTTCAAATTAACGGACGTTCAAATTGTTCGGGCACACGCAGAGAGCATTTGCCGCGCCGAGTGTTGACACGTGCGGCAAGCTGGGAAGCCGCGATTGGGCCAGGTCTGCACCTTGGCGCTTAAACTTCACACGTGGAGGCTCTCAATGATAATCGAAATGTCGAGCGTCATTGCGTCGCGCAGCCAATTAGCGGCGTTTGCGAGATGGGAGCTTTAACGAGCGCAGATTTGGCCTGAAACAGCCTCGTCAATGCGACAACTTGAAGCACACGGATATCGAGCAAAAGTGCCAGTGGCGCGCAAAGTCATTCCGAAACGCTTTGGGCGATACGCGGCAACATGCAGGTGGCTTGATCAATCGATCATGGCCGAGCGCACATACCTGCAGATAGGGATTGTCCTGTCGGCTGAGCCGAATAGCCTCCATGTCCTGGTCGATGTTCCGGGTCCTGCCGGGGGTCAATGTCAGGATCGAGTGGGAGGGCGACGTGGCGGCTTGCCTGCATGCCATCGCGTCCACGCTCAGGGTCGACGGGATCCTCGACGCGCCAGTCGCCTCTGCAACGTTTTGCGCTCCCGATTATCTTTCGTTGTGCGCGATCGATGCCTAACGAGTCGCGAGTTGGTTTTAGAGCAGCGATTCGCCGCTGCATATTGCCAAGCTAACGTCGCGGCCAAGCGCGCTCGAAGCTACATCGTCGACGCGTGCTCCAATTGTCATCCCGCGATATGTCGGGCAGCTCTCGTCCGGGCAGTGCCGAGCACTTCACCTGCATTCGCGACTAGGGCAGCGCTAATGGAGAAAGCCATTAGCGTGCCGATGCGTTAATGCGGAGGAATTACGAAAAAGGAGAGGCTTTGAAAGGTCTACTAACGTGCAATATTCGTTCCTTTTTCTACGAACCATAGACATACAAACGTGACACGGCATCGAGTTATAATGATTGTAAGTAGGTGCGATTTGAAAGGTGCCTAGCGCGAGGTAAAGCTCCAAAGTGAAAGGTTCGCGCTAGTCGACGCATATGCCTGACTAAATCCGAGGCTCTTCTACTGCGAACTCTAGCGCTGCCGCAGTATGACGTACAGCCGCATGCAAATTCGTGTAGCACGTATAATCTTACTTTTGCCGCGTCGAATTACATTCGCGCCGGAGATTTACGGTCCAATCAAGGATCCTACATAATAGATGGTAGCGGCGCAATCGGCGCCCGAAACTCGCAAAGTATCCCCGTTAATCAATCGCCTAATTTATCGCGGATGAATAGCTTCGTGGCTCGATTTACTTTTCCCGGCATACGAGGGCGGCAAATGAAAATTCATAAAATAAGGCGAGGCCGCCCATTATTGAGGGTAAAGGCAACGGCAAAGGTCGAGAGTCCTTGCCTCATCATTGGCTCGAAGTCTACATTTGTCGACGTTTTCTCTCTCTCTCTCTCTCTCTCTCTCTCTCTCTCTCTCTCTCTTCGCATGCTAATTCATGCACATATTATTGGCTAAGTGTGCTCCACGCAATTGATTTCCATCAAGATTTTACTCGTGGAAGTAGTGAGGCACGAATAAATCTTGCGCACTTTTGTATCGCGCCATGCGAATCCGTAGGTGATATGTTTTAAGTCTTCGTAGACAGGATGTCGTTTAAGTTATTTCATTTTCAGTTATTCGAAGGGATAATTTTTTCTTGAATGCGGGATTCAATTTTCGATTTTCGATCGAAAAGTTGACCGTTCGAAACATCCCTTGCTTGCGTTACGATCTGAAATACTGAGATATGCGCAAAACTTTCTTTCTACCTGACATCTCCAACTGTTCCGCTGAGTTTCGGAGCGCGGTATCGACAATGACATTTTTCGAAATCGAGAATTCTGAACAGGTATACGTGCTTCAACCTTCGGTTCTTCGAATTGAAAAATCGAAGGACAATTACCTGAATGATCGATCCAGTACAACTGAATACAGCACGTAACAATGTCGAAACAGCGTCGTTCGATAAACCTTCAGAGCGATAGCTTTAAACTCTACCATCACGTTCACTCGACTACTCGAGCTACGGAAAACAAAGAATCTCACGATCTTTATGACAAAAACATATTCTAACCGTTTCACTCGCGTTCTAGACAAGTAGTACCATCGCTCTCGTCAAATGCACCCTCCCGCTAAAACTCGAGTGGCAGATAACCATAGCCATCTCTTTACCGGCAAAAAATCCGCAAGATAGAGCGAGTCACGCACTCAGCGAAAATTTTGCGGATAGAGCTTCTAGAGGAGGGGCAGTGATAAAGCCTCCGCCGCTTTCATTGTGCTACGCGTCCGATCTCATTTCCCGTCTTCTTCGCAGGCGTTTCAAACTTTCACATGGCGTGGCTTTTCTCTCCGAGCGACGGCTGAATAATTAATGAAGCGAGATCTTTCTTCCCGACCATCGAACTTTCATGGACCACTTCGCAATTGGGGTTTTAAGGATTCAGACGATGCTGCTTTATGCCTTTTGCGAGCACGAGTATCGCGGTTAGGGTCGGATTATCTTGTGGCTGCTTCTCTGTGGCTTAAACTTGATTAGGGCGAGGTTATTTATTGCATTTCTTTAGAGATTTGCTTGGCTCTTGCGCTATGCCAAAAGACTGAAGGAAGTGCAAATGACGCAGATGTCCATTAACGGCTGTGAACGTTTTCAGATTTTCGTTACTATGCATCAAACAAGTGAAATATAAAGATGTAGTCGATGTTGGGGAAAGACGGTAAATAAAAAGTACAAGACGCCCGGAAGATTCACTTCAGCGACGGCGTCACTCTAAACTGCACGTCACGTTTAGGATTAATAGCTAAATTGCAACGTTCATCTGGAAGACGTCGATAAAGTAGATATATTTTTTACACAGGTAGTGCTGAAGTAACTAAAATGTTTCAGTTGGCCAATAGACACAGCTCTTACTTGAAATACTTGCCAAATCGATTTTTCAAAAGTTGTCCGCGTGCGCAAAGAAAAAACAATCCGCTGTTGTCGTTTTGAGTCGACAGCGCACGTGAATTGCCGGCGAGTGATCAAGCGAAACCACCGATTGATAAATAGCCGATAGACAGACGGTGACGATAGACAAATATATATCTCTGTGTCGCAGGGCAAAAAAGACAATGCAATCGAACTGACTCGCTATACGGTCGAAAGCCGATGTACAGCCACGTGTAGGATTTGAAACGAATTTAATCCAGTTTACGTAATCGCGGCGCGTTCATTGTCAAGGGTTCGGGCTGTTGCGTAAGTTCATTTTCGGGCAAGGCTATGCGATCCGAGCATAACCAATTTTGCCGCTGGGTTTACCTATTCTGTAGATAAAGGTTATTTGTATTCTACTGGAGATCATACGATTATACCGAGATTATTGATTTCACGAAGTAGGCTTAATGTAACTTAATGGGTTGAGTGAAGCTTGATCGATACAAGATGTATTCTATTTTTTTTTTTTCAAAAACGAATTGATGATTTGTTACGCATAGGTGGGGCTTATTATGTATCGTCCGAGTAGTGAATTATATGACAAGCTTTGTATTTTTGGTGGTAATAGTTACTAATTTTACCCCAATAATTCTGCACACGATGTGTTCATTGTCATTATTATGATGGATTTACGAAAGAAATGAAAATCAGATCTACGATATATAGCGACAAGTGGGTCAATTAAAACATTGCGTTGTACGGCAAAAACACGCCAATTTGAGAATTGAAAATTTAAGCACTCGGTCATGAATTTATGATTAAATTGAAGTATTGAAAAAAAAAAAAAGATTAGCATGACATCTACAGGGATGAAATTTGGCATAGCATTAAACGTCAAGAAAAAGTTATGAAAAATATACTTGAAATTTCGAGTTAATTACTGAAGTTCGTATAGCCAGAGTAACGTCTCATCACCGCCCCTTTTCAAGACCTCAGTTGGTAGCAATTAGAGCTTCGAAAGTCGAATGATGGAAAAAGAATGGTTAGGCAATTTGATTACACGTCAAGATGAACATATATATTAATGCGTGTGTGTGTGCGCGTGCGCGCGTGTGTGAGGCATAGGTATCAAGGCCACGAGCTTACACGTGACCGTAAGGCATGTGTGTGTGTGTTGCTTTTTTCGCCGAGCAAATATAACGAGGTAAGGAACAATGTGAATTAAATGAGAACGCGGACTGTACGTCGATTAAGAAAAGAGCGTAAGAATTAAGGAGATTTTCCCTATTGTATGCCGTGACTTTATCAAGCATTTACTTTTCTTTGTCGCCAAAAATATATTCAACGAGAAGTCTTTATTCCTTAATAACTTCGTCAACAGTCAAACAATAGCCTCTCCTTGGTGTCCGTTATCTTTTATGCATTCACGCAGGTCGCTTCAAATCGAATCGCGAATGACAACACCATCTCGGTATTTCTAGCTGCGTGGCCGATGAACAATCAGAGTGTTAATAATCATAATGTTGTAAATGTTGACCCAATCGCTCAGTGATCTGGTTTGCGCACTGGATAAAAAAAGACTGGAATCGATGACTACGCGAACAAGTTGCAACTTTATTTAGCTGCGCGCGGTATGGTCTTTGAGTATATTGACATTTCACTCTAAAGACTCGTTATAATGGAAGGCAATGAGGCAAATCTATGATCACAAATAGATATATAGATTTAACTTCGTATTGTAAGTTGGCATTATTTAATGGATAGCATTTCATGAATTATTGATAACTCAAGTCTTAGCTACGACAGATATCTTAATTGGAAGTTTAAGCTGAAAGTAACAGATAGACAATTAGAGTTATGAAAAACGTTGTGCATGCGCAAATTCTAAGGATAGAAGAAAAACAGGAACGGAAGGGTCTGGATTGAAAAAAAAAATCATTTTACAAATTATCAATCGCAAAATACAATTTCCAAGCACCAATACAATTTTTAGATGAACAAAATTCGTCGACATGCAACGAAACGACTACCGATTTGCTTACAAAATGCCCCACAGTGATTTAATCAATCAAAGTACACGATACGAGATACACCCAAGCATGAGACACCACGCAAGAATCCAATTCGTAAAATATTAACACGGGCATCTAACAAAGATCTATCCATCAAAATGAAATATTCACCTTGATTATCAATTAGCCTCGTGGAGCGTTGCGTAGTGGTGGTACTTGTGCTGCTCGTGCCCTCGTCGATCCTCATGCCTGCGAGCAGACAATTCGTGCTCTTTCTCAAACTGAACACACTTGCGAAAAATGCCAAACCTTTACGTCTGAGTCTGTCGTACTTATTGTTCATTGGTTTTATCGGACTACTACTACTACTTGCACTAGCACCACCGGTTACTTGCATCATGTTTTTCCTAATTCCCAAGTTCTGCTGTTCCAGTCGATGCTGAGATTCTTTTTATCTCGATAGCGTAAATATTTCGCCCTTGCCACACAGCGATAGCTCCGCTCACCGTCAACAAAACCTTTCTTTGTTCGTTTATTTTATTCGCAGCCTGCATTCGTTTGTTTCAATTTTCCTTGCCCGGCGCTGCTGTGCGGGGGGGGGGGGGCGAACGTGCAGCAGAAAAATCTACATTATCAAAATGAAAAGAAAAGGTCGTCGCGTTTGCAAAGCTTTTAAAAGTTTCACGCAAACAAAGATTCTCTTTCTTCATTCCTAAAGGATTGCAATTTCACGTCGCGTTGCATTGGTAAAAATTCTTTTATTCGTTCGAGCGACGAGAAACGGACGCCGAAAAGCCAGACAAACTGACCGTCATACTGACTATACCCGGGCTATAACCCGTGGCCCGGCAAAATCAGCACGTAAAAATCAAAGTCACATTGCCGCGAGTTATACTCCGTATAAAAACGGCATCGCCGACTGGTTCGCGCGATAAGCTCACGGCCACGTAACGACGCGCGAGATGACTCAACGCGACGAGAGAACGAATTACAAACGGCAAAGTCGTCAACGGGGAAAAGGTCAAGAGCAAGAGAGCGAGAGAAGCGTGCGAGCCGGCGCCGAGGCTACAACTGCAGGTGCCGGGGGTATCAGTTTTTCGCTGCTCCGTCTCCACAGTGGCAACGCGGTTGGCTAGCGTACCGCACGCGCCGGGAGGGATGCGCGCGCGGCACTGCTAGAGTGTTCTCTCTCTCTCTCTCTCTCTCTCACTCTACCTTTTGGCTTAGGGCTACTTCACAACTTCGCGGCTGGGCAACAGTTCGCCGACACGTCGTTTGGCTTCTGAGTCTTCTTCAGCTTCCTTTTACAAGTTGGTCGACGGATTAACAGCACTGCTGTGCAAAACTCAATTTTCTTACGCTAATATCAAAATAATTCGACATTCGCGAGGCCTGAAATCGTAAGAGTCGTCCACAAGTGAAAAATACGTCGAAATTTATAAACGTAAACGATAATACGATATCCAATGAAATAATCAAAAGCTTGATAAGAATGTACTCATAAAATCAAAATAAAACCAAATTTCATATTCAGCAGCAGTGTTTAATAATCCTCGTTTCAATAATCGATACAAGCATAATGTCTGACCGAACCTAGTGATTTTCTACTTTGGGAGAACAAGAATTCTATAGAAACTGAAGTGCACATTCCCAATTGGAGCGTAATTTTCGCGCATACGTGGGTTCGCCAGATGTAGTTACATTAAATGCTCCAAATCAATTATTGAACAGTCCCTTTCTCCCGTAATAGCCGCTCATAATTCTGACGTACACGCCGACCCAATTGAGTGTGGAACGTTGAAATGATAATTAAATTCGATCGAAAAAATGAAATTCGCGCAAGGAATGTAATGGGATCGGTCGTCATTATTGCAGACGCAGCAAATGAATTAACTACAGTCTGACATACTTGTAGTCTCACGGCGAGGTCGATTTATTAGCTGCGCATATTCCGAGCTCTCGTGGTGAATTAAAAGCTCGCAGACACCCTCGAAAGGAAAAGAAAAGCTCTCGGGTGAAATTGCGAAGTAAGCCGAAAGCTATCTGGGCGCCCCTCTCGCGAGCCAGGACAAAGGATAGAAGAGGTGAAACGACATTTCGCAGGGCACGCAGAGCCAACGAATCGACGCGCGACCGATCGCCAGAGTGCCAACTCGCGTGCTGCAAGATTGCGCGGAGGGGAGGGCGACGAGCTGCGTGCGCGTGGGCGTCAACGACTGCGCGGGAATCGTCATCGTCCAATATCCCGGTGTTGCCGTCACTGCTGACGTGCTCGTATCCACTTTCCGGCATCGATCCCGACGTTCCTCGAGCGCGGATCACAGGACCCGATCCGCATTCGGCTAGCCTTCCGTCGTCGCAAGCTTACGGCTCTTATTTTTTAGAAAGCCTGCGAAATTGAAACTGGCCGCGGGCGCGACATCGACTCGGGGAAAAAGACGACGCGGTCCTCGCTGTCGGAGTATGCCGCGAGACGCGAAGCCACTCGCCAGTAGCGAAACCGAAGATAACGACGCAACGAAGAGACAAGGAGAGGAGGGTTGCGTCTTGGAGCGAGCGTAACGACGGAGCGCTGTTCGAAAAGTTGAAGAGCCCTCTTTTGCAGCGTCGACGCTTCGCGTGTGGAGAAAACAAGCCTCTCGTGACCCAGATCCGACGCACTCGCGTTTTTAACCCCATTGTGTATTGGCACGTCTTGCCGACGGCAACATAGGGAGGCGGCTGTCCATTCAAAAACAGGCACTCCATTGTGTCGAGTGGCTGGCTTATCGAGGCGATATGTTTCGCTCCTTTCTTTCGCGTGATTAGCCGGAGATCGCTGTGGCCGATAGCAGAAAAACACTGCGGAACTTGCCCTTCGCGAGGCGCAATATATTGCGGATGAAATTTAATCAAACTTTTTTTCACGCCAGGACGTTTCCTCGTTATTATTGAATTATCAGATATTTCATACAGCACGGCAAACTTATTACAATATTAGTTTATAGGGCGGAGAGCCAGGCTACATATAGAACTGTGTCCTGGATATAAATATAAATTGCAATTACTATACGAGCCATCCGCTCGCAAACCGAATCGACTTGAATATTTAGAAAATACCTTAATTAGATTGCTCTTGTTGCGATGGGAAGTGCCAACTCGCAAATGCATTGATTCAATTTAAACTTGCAAGTACAATACTAAAACTGTCGATTCACTTAAGCTACAAGTTGAAATGCCACTTATGCGTGTAAGGGACAATAGCGGATTCTCGAGGTTCCAGAATGTCTCGCCGCTGTTTTATTATACAGCCCCTAAAGCACACCAAGCCACGTGCCCTCGTATCATTTCACTTTTCTCCCCCTTCTCTATTCGTCGCGGATGATGCGAACTCGAGATTTTGCCTTACGATCTGGAAAATTCGATCGAGGAATACGTAATGTCATGTACTACAGCGCTCCGATTCCGGAGGGGTTGGATCATTTTCGGACGGGTGCGATTTAGTGCTTGGGATTTAGGTTTTACTCTCTGTTGATTGCCGCTCATTCCTCTCCTGAATTATGACGCTCTGCTTGTATTTTTTAGTCATTTTCGTGACCTCGTGTATTATAAACAAACTATGAGATATCCGGCAAACGCCATTTTCGTAAATTTCGAAGTGAGCTTGCTATTTTATCTATATAATTTAGCGAAAGACAATCGGAATCTTTTCGTAATCTTTAAGCAATGAATTTAGAATACGCATTTGAAAGCTTCAATGAGCCTTTTGTCATTTCTCTCGCAAGAGCTTTCCGTTGAAATATCTCGCACGTACACGTAGCTTTTAGAAAAAAAAAAACGTCACGGTCGGAATTTCTCCTGGAGCGAAAACAAACAAACGTCAAGTAGAAAAGAAAAAAAGGGGGAGAAAGAAGGAAGCTTCCGGCGAAGTTGCACTCTATGTGAAAGCAGGCCATTTATCTCGGGCTCTTTGCACACACAGCGAGTCCAACGAGGTGTCGGGAAGCGGCTGAATTTCCGGGCAGAGCGTCCTCGACTCGACGAAGGGCGCACAGTCTAGAAATCCATTAGGACGGTTGGGCCTTGACGCAAGCTTGGCGACGGCTTCGGCGAGGGATTCGGCGGCGACTCGGCAGCGGCCACGAAGGTGTCAAGTTTGCGAGGCTCCGTAGTGGCGGCGCGCAGCAGCGGCGGCGGTAGAGGCCGTCGGGCCGGCGCACGCGTGCGTAGAGCTCGATCGATGCCCGCAGCCCTCGCCTCCGCGCTCGGCGCCTCGCGCGCGCGCGACCCGCGGACGAGAAATGACAATGCGACTTACTTGCGGAACAGCGGTGCTGCCTCGGACCGACGATGGAGCCTCGGCCCAGCGCGCTACATCCCTCGCCGACGAGTGCCGAGGACGGACAGCGCTACCACCGAGGCGTGGCTCCCTGCAACGATACGCCCGTGCTTCCGATGCGCGCAGCACTGGGCTTTTCGTGCCAGGCCTGCGCAGCGCGCCACCGCCGCCGCCGCCGCCGCCACCGCCGCTCCCGCCTGCTCACCTACGTGCCAGCCAGTCTGCACCGCTCTCGGGGATGCCCTCGAGGGGATGCCCTCTCGGCGGCGCCGCTCCGCCTGCCAGTTTGTCGTTTTGTTGCGAGCCTCGCCGCGGCGTGCCGCTGCGATTCGCGTCCAATCGATCGATCAATTGTCCGACCGAGCGCTCGTTTTACCCACGATGGATTATCTCGATTATCTCCTCGTTGAGCTCGTCATTGATTATGCTCTGCGTCGCTTCGCTTGGGCGCTTCCTTTTTTTCCAGTTCTTTTTAGTGCTAGCTAATGATCATCAAGGCCAAAAGAAGCTCGTCCGACGACCAATAAACCTGCCAAGTATGCAGCGCAACGGCTCCTTTCTTCGTGCCTCGGCAACCTTCGCAACGCGCACGGACACCTCCATACGAACATTGCCCGCCGCGCTGAGCGAGGTGAACGCGTTACTGGTACGCTCGAGTGGCGGTCGATTCGGATTCCGGTGAAAATCGCTGGGCAAAGATCAATTTAGGGGCCTCGACAATGGGAACGTTTAATTAGAGGCGTTAGACTGCTACTCGGTGAATGCTTTATTTAGCGCGTCGGCATGATACCTTTTCGCGCTCTCGCGCTTAAGGATATGAATTATTGAGGCTGTGGAGGCGTAGAAAAACTGAGCAAAGTAGCGCGCTCTCGTTACCAACGGTTTTATATCTCTGACCTCTCCGAAGAAAAAAAAAGAACAGAAGAAGAAAAGAAGAAAGTGTGAATTGGAGTAATTAAGAGCGGTGGGAAGCTCGTGAGCAGTGCCAAGATCATTTAGATGTTGATCGATTGGAGCTGCGTAGAATGGGCGCTTTAACGGATGACGCTGGTGATAAAAATGTTGCAGAGGCGTGCACGCTCGATACCAGCAGCGTTTCAGCGACGACGCGTCAAGAAACCGTCGCGTGTCGTTTGGTCCACGTCGGAAATAGTCATCGGCCAATGGAAGTACATTCGTTGCCGAACTACACAGTTCCGACGAGAACAAACGGAACAAGCGTTCTCGCGCAACGTAAAAATGAATAAAACTCGTAAAATAGCTGTATGTCGAGCACTCGTCGTTGCCTCGAAAGCGTAGGAAACAATGAACGACTGTGAACAGTCGCTCGTGAAAAGCCCTCGGCCGGCAACGGTCGTCCACCGAGATGCGAGCCCCGGAGACATCGATCGGCTTTTTGGTGAATGGACTCGAGAGAGAATAAAAAAAATGGTGCACGAGGTCGACGCTGGCGGATCGATCGTTAACCTTCACCGTGCGCCGTTATAGGGACGTTGCACTTGTTGATTACTACTTTTGCAGCGAGCGAGCTGGCTCGAACTTGTTGCGGCTTACGTAACTGCGACGAATCAAGTTCGCCCACTGTCAAAGGGCTTTTATTGATTTTGCGCAACGAGCTAGCGGACTTTATAATTGCTGCACTGCGTGCTGGCGCTCTGCTTTGTAATGTGCGATAACAGCTATTTACCTCGAGTCGCTGCCGTGCGTCGTGCAACGAACTTTTGCATAATTCGAAATCTCATTTCTGAAGTCACTCCACGTACGACGTTACCTGTAAATATCTATTAGCGAATTGTTGCCGATGAGAAAATCAAGTGTAACTGCAATGTACATAAAAAAAAAAGAAATTCAAATCATCGCGACACGAAGCTTTCCCAGAGTTGCCATGCCTCTTTCAATATTTGAAAGCGCGACGAAGTCAAAGCTGCAAGTCAATGGAACTATTCACGCTGGCACGTGTGAAAAGCGAGTGGAACGTTCAATTGAGACAAAAACATTTTTTCACGTCACGCGCGCGAGGAAAAATTGCCACGAACATTTTTATGGCTTCATATCTCATTTTTCACGTCCGCTTTCATTGCTCTCTACAGGCTCGTGTTCTCTCATCCTGCCGCGTGTAATATCCTAAAGTTCGACGTGATAGCGACGTGCAATTTCGATAGAGTGCGTACTGCAAATTCTTTTCACATTATCTTATCCATTAGACTCAAGTGTGATGAAA